AAAAAAAGAGGGATCAGCAGTTAGCATAACAGCAGTGTGGCTGAACTCCCATGTAGTCAACCACAGTTCAAGTCCTGGACCCAGTGGCTTAAACTCACACCGGGCGCATGTGCGTGCGTGCCCAAGATCCCAAGAGGAGAATGGAGGAGAAGGGATTGCAGTGTGGTCATCCCCCCTGGGGGGTGATTTCTCGCTTTCTGTCTCTCTTTGGTGAGCACATGCACCCTATAGCCAAAACCTCTCCAAAAAAAAAAAAAGAAAGAAAGAAATTGAACTTCAAGCACAACAGTCTGCTTTTCACATTCAGTACAGTATTCAATAAATTATAGAAAGTGTTCAACATTATCATAAATTAGGTCTGTATCATATTTTAAAGAATTGGTTTTTTTTTTAAATTATTATTTTCTAATTTGAGCAGAAAGAGAAAGGGAAAATGAGAAGGCAAGCCACGTTTTTTTTTAATTATTATTTTCTAGTTTGAGCAGAGAGAGAAAGGGAAAATGAGAAGGCAAGCCACCAGGTCCAGGACTCAAACTGTGGTCAGCCATATGGGAGTCCAGTGCCTCAACTACCATGCTACCTGCTGACCATCTATTATTATTATTGTTATTATTATTATTTTGGAGAGGTTTTTGCTATAGGGTGCGTGTGCTCACCAGAAAGACAGAGAGAGACAGAAAGACAGAAAGTGAGAAATCACCCCAGGAGGAATGGCCACACCGCAATCCCTTCTCCTCCATTCTCCTCTCAGGATCTTGGGGACACATGCACATGTGCCCAGGATATTATTATTATTTTTAAATTTGCTATAGGGCACACGTACTCACCAGATAGAGACAGAAAGAGAGAGAGGGAAAGTGAGAAAGCACCCCCCGAGAGAAGTCCCTTCTCTTCCATTCTCCTGTCAAGATTTTGGGTTCATATACACACATGCCAATGTGTTTTTCAGTTACTTCCCTCCATTTCTCTATCCTGTCAGGATTTGGGGCAGGCACACACATGCACCCAGTGTGTTTTACAAGCTGCCAGGGTCCAGAATTCAAACCACAGTTGGCCACATAGGATCCAGCCACATAGAATCGGGTTCCCTTGACCACTAGGCCACAGGGCTGGTCCATGCATACGTGAGTCTAAATTGACAAATATCAGGTTCCAATAGGAAGCAGTTCTCAGCGTGTAGACCCTGGACTAACGGCATCAGCACCACCGGGAACGTGTTAGAAGTGACAATTCCCAGGCACCTCTCCAGGGTGGGACCAGGCAGTCTGTGTTTAACGTGCCCTCCAGGGGACTCTGACGCTTCAGCTTAACAAGCACTGCATGAAGGGGCTGGGGAAGGAAATCTGAGAGCTCCAGGTCGTGTCTGAGCTGGTAGGGCCTGCAACGTGAGGTTGTGGTTGCATCATAACAATGTTCCCCACTGGCTAATCCATGGCGGTGTCTGTGGCGGCGGTGATTAGTGCAAATTAGCTGAGTTCAGGTGTGCTTTTGACTTAAGCACCACCTTTCAGCTCAGGATTACCAAACATCACTTATTTTTACCCCAGGGAGGCTCCAGGGCCAGAGAGAAAGTTAAGAATAGAAAGCAGACAGGTCACCAGACTGGGCTCTCACCACCATGTGGTTCAGTGCTGCATGTAAACCTTCGTCCTTTAAATAAACTTTTCAGAAACTGAAGGAACACAAGACGTAAGACCAAGGCGAGATGTAGATGTCACCCTGGTTACCATCTGTGGGGGGGACAGAGTATTTTATTTTGTATTATTATTACTTAAAAGAATTATTTTCTTTTTTCTTTTTGTTTTTGTTTTTTTTCTTGAGAGGTTTTTACTATAGGGCATATGCGATCACCAGAAAGACAGAGAGACAGAAAGTGAGAAGTCACCCCACCCCACCCCCTGGGAAGATGGCCACACCACAATCCCTTCTCTTCTCGGGATCTTGGGCACGCACACCCACGTGCCTGGTGTGAGTTTAAGCCACCAGGTCCAGAACTCGAACCACAGTTGGCTACATGGGAATCCAGTGACATAGACATTACACCAACTGCTGGCCCCAAAGAATTATTTTATTTTAATTTCATTTATTATTTTTCAGTTTGACCAGAGGCAGAGAGAGAGAGGGAAAGTGAGAAAGGAAGCCACAAGGTCCAGGACTCAAACTGCAATCGGCCATGTGCGAGTCCAGCACTCCAACCATCATGCCACCTGCTAGCCCAGTAATGTATCTGTCTTACACCCAACCAATACACTCTGTAACCTAGCTAATGTGCTTTATTTATTTACTTACTTATTTTTTAATTTGGCCAGAGAAGGACAGAGCAAGAGCAAGCGAGAGAGCAGGAAAGTGAGAATGCAAGCCGCCAGGTCTGGGTGGGATTCGAACCATACTCAGCCCCATAGTCAGCCATGTGGGAGTTCAGCACTCTTAAGCATCATGCCACCTGCCAGCCCCATATATTTATTATTTTTAAAAGTGTTTGCCACAGGTCGCATGTACTTACCAGAGAGATAGAGACAGTGAGGGAAAGTGGAAAATTACCACTGAGGGGATGGCTATGCAGCAGTCCCTTCTCCTCCATTGCCACAGGTTGCATGTACTTACCAGAGAGAGAGAGAGACAGTGAGGGAAAGTGGAAAATTACCACTGAGGGGATGGCTATGCAGCAGTCCCTTCTCCTCCATTCTCCTTCTGGGGTTTTGGGCACACGTGCATATGTGCCCAGTGTGATTTTCAAGCCACCAGGTCCGGGACTCGAACCACAGTTGACCACGTGGGAGTTCAGAGCCTTAACCATGATGCCACCTGCTGGGCCCTCTGGTCACCATCTTATACCTTGGGTGACCATGCATTCAGTTCAGAATTACAGGTTTGCAACTTCCTCGATGGGGTTTAGAATATGCTATCCCCAAATGTGGCACCTTGGCATTTGAGAAAAACACCTGAAGCTAGACAGTCTCTTTCACATTCCCTTTGCCTCTTCCTTGAAAGCAAGCCCTAGAGCCTAGAAAGGGTGTTCTGACCTTTCTCCTAGGCAGGTCATGAGATCCTCGTGTGACTGGTAACCCACCCACCCCATAACTGAAGAGAGCAACACATTCTCCTCTGAAGACACAGGGATCCTGTAAATTGGATCAGATAGGCCTCACTAAGCACCCCTAGTTCGATATCACAGATCATAGCCCCTTGGTCCATTCATACTTCTCCACAACTACCCACTCTTCTCCAGACCTAAACAGAAAAGTGTACGGGTTTCCCTGTTCCTTTAGGTCTTCATTTCCGAAGGCTCCTGCGTCACCTACAACTCACATCACATAGATGAGCCCAGGGGTGACACAAGCTGATAAGGAGCTGTGCCCCACCCGCAGGCCAGGAGTTCATGGGAGACCGAGGTCCGATATCTGGCTGACTGTGCAGGCCAGACCTTGTGCAGTGTGCCTGCAAGGCCCGCGATTCAGGGGGCTGGGGCAGCAGGATCATGAGCTAGAGGCTGGCCTGAGCCACACAGCAAGACCCTGTCCATGAAAGGAGCCAGGAGTGATGGCATGCACCTGCAGCCCCAGCTGGGAGCTGAGGCAGGAGAATTTCAACTCAGCCAAACCCTGTCTTTTCTTAAAAGCAATAGATTTGTTGGGGAACCAGCAGTTAGCGTAATGGCTATGTCGCTGGACTCCCACATAGTCGACCGCGGTTCGTGTCCCGGACCCGGTGGCTTAAAACTCACGCCGGGCGCGTGTGCGTGCGTGCCCAAGATCCCGAGAGGAGAATGGAGGAGAAGGGATTGCGGCATGACCATCCCCCCTGGGGGGTGATTTCTCGCTTTCTGTCTCTATGTCTCTCTCTGTCTGTCTGGCAAGCGCACGCGCCCTACAGTGAAAATCTCTCAAAAAAAAAAAAAAAAAAAGCAATAGATTTGTTAATCTGAATTTTATAGAGGGCCCTCAGCCACAAACCCCACAAGGGCTAAGAAAAGATGTCTTTCCATCCCTACATCTTCCCATGGCTGCTAAATGGACCGGAAGGAACCCTGGCCTAGCGGTTTGCTACCATGGCAGCACCGTGCCAGCCCTGGTGGCATTTGGAAGCAGAAGTGGTGTTGGAATGTCACAGTGACTGAGGGCCTCTGGGATCTGGTGGGCCAGTGGCAGCCTTGTCACACATTCTGTAGGGAGCTGGTGAAAATGGAAAATGCCACAATTACTTTGAAAATTAATCTGAGAGTTACATTAAAAATTCAACCCACACTTACTACACATTCCAGCCACTCCACCGCTAGGTGTTTACCACAGGAAAAAGAAGTGTACCCTGGTCTCCGTATACAAGTCTACACTCATACGTGGACATTCAGAAAGGCCCTATTTGGTTTTATGTCCTCTTCATCTGTGATAGAGCACACAGGCATGCATGTGAAAGTGAGACCCAGAGAAAAGGACGAGCACCCTCTGCAGGATCTGGTCATGCCGAGGTCCTCTTCCTCCAGGCCTTCAGCCCGTTGGATCTTGGGCACTGACTGCCGTGCCCAGCATTTTTCAGGCTGACCAGGCTGGGTATTCGAACCCTGGTCACCATGCAGAATCCAGCTTCTCTTGAGCAGTGCATTGACGAAGCCAGCGCTCAGCCCTATTTGTAGTTACTGAAAACTGGAAACAACCCATGGGCGTTTGCCCCTGAGCGGGTGAGCAGGTAAACAGTGGCAGGTCCCTATGATGGGCTTCTTACCACCAGCAATGAAAAGGAATGTACCAGCAGCCCATGGGACGACACGGAAGAACCTCAAAGTCACACCCTAGGTGAAAGAAGCCACATAGAAAAGGGTACAGGCTTTGTGACTCATCCTTTTTATATGAAATTACAGAAAATACAAACTAACCTACAGGCACTGAAATCCTGTTGACGTTTACCTGGAGTTGTGGAGGTGGGCAGGAGACACAAGGAGGGATTGTAAAGGGGATTCCATTTAAGCAGTTTGGGTGGTCACAATGTTAATGAACTCCTCACAGGGCAGCAGGCAGCTGGGAGCTGGCTTCTCTCAGCAGAGGAAGACAGCACAAGAGGGTGTCGAAGATGGAAGCCAACAATGGCGTTTGGAACCTCTCTCAGAAGTCACATCCTGGATCACTAAGGCAAGTCAGTAAAGCCCAGTCCCCACACAGGATGGGCAGCACACGAGGAAACAGATACCAAGAGGTGTGGATCTGTGGGGATCGCTCCGAGACCACCCACTGCAGGTACAGGCACCAACACACCTGAGCATGGGAAAGCAAGTGTGTGGAGCATACTCAGCTCTGCCCACATGAGGGCACAGGAACTGGCCTGGCAGAGCTGAACCACTTCGCAAAGACCTTTTCCTTCCTTCTTGAAAACACAGCATTATCGCTCTAATCCCAACAGTCCTGAAGCAACAGCTTCTTAGCACAGGAGAGGCATTGAAGTGAGGTGGGATGAACAATGCAAGAGGGGGAGCCGTGGGTCCTCCAACAGCCTGGGTTATTGTCTGGAAACATCAATATGTTGTACTCCTCAGGGGAGGTTATGTATAAACAAACAGCGGCAACAGGTTTGACCTGGCTAAGCACCACCAAAGTATATTTCCTGCTCAGGCAAACCCTGCTGGGGGTCCAGCAGCTCTCCAGGGCTGCTGTCCTCCAGGCCATGACATGGGGTGACTCAGGGATCCAGGCAGCTTGCAGCTCGTGATCCACCCTTTCAACATGAAGCTTCTCCTACATGAGAAGGGTAAAGCTTAGAAAATCTCACAGGGTTGGGACCAGCAGATGACGTAATGGCTATGTGTCTGGACTCCCATGTATTTGACCGTGGTTTGAGTCCTGGACCAGGTGGTTTAAACTCATGCTGGGCATGTCTGCGTGCGTGCCCAAGATCCCAAGAGGAGAATGGAGGAGAAGGGATTGTGACGTGGCCATCCTCCCGGGGGGTGATTTCTTGCTCTTTGTCTCTGTCTTTCTGGTGAGCGTACACGCCCTATAGCAAAAACCGCTCCAAAAAAAGAAAATCTCGCAGGGTCTTCTTGATGCCTCTAAAAGTAAGTGACACATTACTTCTGACCGTGTTTAATTGACTGAAACTAGTCATATGACCTGGCCTGCCCCTGAGGGCTCAGGAAGGTATGTCCATATACCCTCAATGAAAAGGAGAACTGGGACCGGAGAGAGTGAGTATCAGCACACAGGCGAGAAGGAGATGTGATGTAGTAACCCGATATTCAGGGCTACCATCTCTAAACACATGGAAACCTGGGGAGCCTGGCTGCCACAGAATTCAGAGTGACGTTTTCAGAGAACGCCTCTCCGCCAGCCATGCGCTGCCACGTGTTAAGTTTATGCTATAGGAGTCCCACTCCCATGAGGTCTTGCTTTCTGCGGTTTCAGAGAGCCACAACCAACCATGATCTGAAAACACTACATGAGAACATTCCAAAAATAAACCATTCACAAGTTCTAAATTGTGCAGCTCTGACTAGTGTAATGAAACTGCACCTCCTGCCCCATCCCCAGCCAGGACGGAAGTCATCCCTTGGTCCAGCGTACCCACCCTGTCTGTGCTACCCGCGTTAGCCACTTAGTAGCTGTCTCAGTTATCAGATTTTAAAAAGACATAGCATATAGAGGTTCCATACTACTCAAGGTGCCAGGCATCTCCTGGGGGTGGTTTTGAAACATCTCTCTCACAGAAAAGTACTGTAAGTTCTCTATGTTTTTAAGATTTTTAATTTTATTTATTTATTATTTTTTAATTTGCTAGAGGGCACATGAGCTCACCAGAGAAAGTGAGAAAGCAAGCCTCTAGGTCTGGGACTTGACCTGTAGTCGGCCACATGGGAGTCCAGGGCCTCAGCCATCCACACCACCTGCTGGCCCCAGTTCTCTGTGTGTGTGTGGTTTTTTTTTTAAAGAATTATTTATTTAATTTTACTTATTATTATTTGATTTGATCAGAGAGAGAGAGGAAGAGAGAGAGAG